TTTTTTTACTCTTTTGATATAAAACTTCTAACTAAAATGTGCTTTTTATCTGGGCRATTCAGAGTCACATCTCGTCTAACATCAGCCTCATTCCAGGTATGTCTGTCCTGGTATAAGAAGGGAAAAACAAGATGAAAAAGCATCCTTTCTGGTATCAACTTTGCTCTTCTTCCTCTGCTTGCTTRTCTGTCTTTTGCAAATTGCAGAATTATGATTTTCCCAATTAAGGGAAAGTCCATAATGAGTATTGCCTTGTTACATGGCAGTGGAGCATTTAGAAGCAATTACCTGCTCGTGACAAGGAATAAAAAAGGGAATGAATATACATATATGTGTGTATATATATATATATATATATATATATATGCACACAGAGAGAGAGAGAAAACGAGAACATGGAGAACATACATGACTGCTCAGTTTGAACCTGGAAAGATTAGAAGTGTTTTGAGAAGAAATGCAAAGTTCTGTCTGCCTTGGGTATAGATGAGTTTTAAAAGCCCAGATAAAGGGAAACTGGATTGCTTCATTCCCCATTGTGCTCTTAAGGAAATCTCACATCCCAAGCACACACAGGAGTCAGCAAGGATTTGGAAAGCCGTTTCTGAAGTTGTGGCAAACACAACCTTATTTTTACTACAGCTCTAACAAGCTACGACAAGTAGAGGAGAGAAAGTGGTTTGGGGAAATTTGAGGAGCCTCAGTTGACAAAAGTTTTTATAGTAATCATGTTGRTAGTTCTTTTGATTTAAACAAGAGTTTTACATCAGCTGTTATCTTTTCCCTGGCAACTTCATTTAGAGTTTCTCCATATAAAGACATAAATATTCCTTTTAATTTATTAGGAAAAAAAAATCAGCACCTGTTTATGGAGGAAGACAATGAAATAATCTAAATTGTCAATTAGCACAATCTAAAGAAGAAATATCTGGAAAAATCTAGAGAATAAATATTTTTGGCCATGGTTCATTGATGATTCAATGTCCTGAGAGAGTATAAACTTAAACAGTTCAGACTGGTGTCCTGAACCTCTGATACGGAAGGGATATGCATTTTATGTAATAAATGTTTTCTTGGCTTTGTGCTTGTCTCCAGGGATTTCTTCCATGGTGAAAGTGCTGCATTTTTCCAATTATATGAAGGAACTGCCGTGGTGTTGATAGTCTTGGCTGCTTTTTGTGTGTGTGATGGTGACAGTTCTGGAATAGCTGGAACAGATATAAAGCTTGCTTTATGGGCAAGAAGGAGGATTCGCTGTGGTGCTCTTGTTTCATGTTATGTCAGGAAATTTTTTTTATATATACTGATTTGTCTTAAATGTCTGAAATATGGAATATGTACCTATTTTTTTAATTGACTGAATCTAAGTAGCATTTTAGATGTCCAGTTGCAAATAAAGCCGACACGTGCTTGTGCAGTTACAGTAACTGTACATGTGAATTAGATGCACACCTGTCCAGCTGCACTTGTGCTAGCTAAGAGCTTAGTCAAACCATCCAGTTCATGTTTTGTCCTCTCTGGCAGCCCAGCTTTTAGCACCAAGTGGGGCCTGTGCCACTACTCACATGCATCTAGCTGTATTCCCCCAAACCCCCTTTCTTTCTCATGCACAGATATGCAGTATCTCACTTAGAAAGTGTGTCCCTAGCATTCTTGGAAGCAGGCACCAATTTCCTAACAGCTGTCCTAAGTTACACCCTGAGCTGTCTTGGTGCTTCTTTTGCAAGTTATCAAAAAAATAAAATATTGAAACACATGGAGTAATGTGCACTAAATCATACTAAAAAGTGCAGTGCTTTTCTCTTGAACCATAGTTCCATGATCCCTGATCACAGTCAGGAGCTGTGCTAGCAGAGAAGGTCAATCCATGTAAGAAGAGTGTTTTAGTTTGACTGTTAATGTGGTGCAGGTGGTTTTTTACTTTGTATAAAAGACTATCRTGAAAGACAGTAATAAGTTTTGTGACAGCTAAAATGGTTTTGTACTTGAGGGTAGCAGGTTCTTCCCTTTCCCTCTCCTTCCTTTACCTTCCTGATCCTAGGTCTTCTCCTGTTGTTTCCCTAGCACAGTATCATGCTGTTCTCCAATTGCTGCAAATTTCTGGGTACCAGTTGTGCTTTCAGCCACAAGTCTTGTGATGCTCTGTCCACGTCGCTCCTCTCCCTGGAAAACTGTGACCAGTGTGCAGCATAGTGACCCAAAGCATACCGGTTTTAAGCTGAATTTAGGAACATAGCATAGCAAGGGGAAAAGTTTAAAACAACAGACAGTGTATGTTCTCATAGGTCTTGCCAGAACCTGTTCTATTATCCAGAGGGGGACACTGGTGCGTTTATTTTTCAGGCATCTGAGTTTGTTTTACCTTAGCCCAGAGCCCCATTCTCTTTATATTTACAGCATGTGCCCCTCCTAGTGCCCTTCGGCCCTTTTGGGTCTCCCCTCTGTCCACCCTTTTCATTCGTGGGGGGCATAGGCAAGCTCASCAAAGCAGCAGAAAGAACTCTGCACTGTTACTGGCCCCGAATTTGCACTGGTGGCTTCCCCTGGTGTTGCTGGKCTTCTCTCCTGGCCGCCTAGCAGCACCACACTGAAAAGACAAGAGTTAAAGACTACATCATGTGGACAACTGAAGGAGCATACAGTACTCWGTATTTATAGGTACTTCCTAGATCATCCCTTTATGTATCAAAATAAGAATATAAAATATATGAAGTATAGGTGTATAACTTCTAAAGTGGCTTACGGATACTAAAATGCATTGTCAGTTTTTGTAACAAAGYAGTATGTATTAGTAGTATGTAAATTGTCAGTGGATCGCTGTCTATTAACAAATGATTAACTATGCATAGTGTGCTTAACAAGGGCCTAACAGACCACTTGCAGCTCTGTCTGTAGCTACGTAGAAGACCTTGATACAGTTACAGCRATTTTAACAAACACCAAGTTTAGAGTATGGCCTAAACCAGCTCTTCAGCATTTCAATTATTGATTTAAGAGCAAAATTAGCACTGACTAACCTAAAAATCAAGTGTCCAGCTTCTGTCCAGTCCTTTCCATCAGCTCACATCCTGCAGAAACAGCAGGGCTCTCTCAGACCTTCTTGCCCTGACCTCTCTGCGCTCACTGGTTGTTTTCTGTGTGATAGTTTTTCACATAGGCCACATGAATTACTGTTTTGCAGGAGCTAATTCTCTTTGCCAAGAACATCTGTGTGCATCTGTGAGAAAGTGACACTTCACATCTTTTTCCTCTTCTGTTACCATCTGCACAGTCTCTACACATCAAAACTCTTGGACACCAGCAGTAGTTCAACACAAAACAGTGTCAGTCTGAGATGATAAACTGGCTGTCCCCGTGCTTGGATGTCACTTGGGGTTCAATGCAGGGAAGGGTGTTTCTCATCTYAGGACAGCTCTTAATACTATCTGCACAGGAGGCTGTGCATCAAGGGACATAACTGGCATTTATTGTGGTAGTAAAAACTAGCATGTTTTTCATTTCCTCACACTGGCTGCTCCATGTGCCACTGGATGATGTCTCTCCTGGATGTGGTACTTTTTCATCTGCAGAGGATGGGGCTGTTGTACATACGTGTCACCACGTATAAATGTACTTTGGAAAAGGCAAATAAGTGCACCTTGCACTTGGAGGAGAAGGTGGTGAATTTTGCAGTAAGTTTCTTTGGGAGGTGATGCTGCAGGCTCAGCTGGTACSTGCAACAGGACTGCCCTCAGCACAGGCAGGCTTTGGCCTTACTGCTCAGTGTTCCGCTTTGCTTAAAAGAAACAAGTTGCTGGCCACAGAATTCAAAGATTTTTTTGAACATGTTGTTTTCAGGATGCAATGAAACAATTCCAGGTGGAAGAGATGGATATTACCTGTGAAAATAAAATGACAATGCTGGCAGCAAGAGGGGCTCTGCTGTAGGACTGTCTAGAGAATGTCTGGATTTATCCAGCTATTTACTGTCTGGGCAGTTCTACACAGCATGAGGTTTCTGGCTCCGTAACTCTCCGCAATTCTTGGATTTTGTATCTGCTTAGGGCTTTTTTCCCCCCTCTGTCTTCTGGTGGTTTTCTTTCCCGTCCTTATTCTGCTGGCTTCTCAGAACACCAGGCAATCTTCATAGAAACAGATGCTAAGCAGGCTGCAGCAATAGCAAAGGAACACCTGGACTGCTAGTTTTTTTTAATGGTGCTTCTATTTCTCAAGAAATTGTCTATTTTTTTAGTATACAGTAATGGAAACAGAGGTAGCCCAGTAAATCAAAATGAAAATCCAGCTCTGAACATCAGCATTTCAAACGCCTAAGAGAGTTGCTTTAGTCTGCTAGAATATAAGTGGCCCAAATATTAATTAGAGGTGGAAAATGGGAATGTAACTATTTCTCCTCCGCTTTTCCCCATGCCCTGTCAGATTTGCAGCTCCAGAGCCTCCAAGCAGCTCTAGGTGGTGAGCCTGCGGTTTGGCAGTGCGGGCTGCATCAAGGGGAGATGAGTGGCACTTCAGAAGCAGGATTTTGGTCGCAGCTGCAGGTTGCGTGGCCAGGGTGTCGTGTGTGTGTGACATGCAGCCCCTCCTGCTTTGCTGCCCTGCTTTTGGGGTGGCTTCTGCTCGCAGCCCTGATGGTTGGGGCGAGCCTTGTTACCCCAGCAGGAGGAGGAGTGTGAGCACAGCGGGCCCTGGGCAGCAGGGCACCCGCAGAGGGACACGCAGCACCCTCTGCAAGCCAGAAAACCCTGACCCTTTCTGTATGCTATTGACTCAACTCCACCCCTGCTGTTATCCCTGTTATGACTTAATAGTCTGGATTTGGCTTGTTACCTTTTAATGAGATTCTTCTTGAAGAGAGAACGCTTTGTGGAAACTGCAGATTTATGTTGTTTCTAGGAAGATAAATTTATTTCCAGCTAATATGCGCCACAGCCCATGGGGGCTAGTGCGACGCAGCCCGTGTTACAAGCATGATTATTTTATATCCTGTTTTCTTCTCCCTGCAGAGGATTATGCCCAGCTGTGCAACATCCCCGTTCCAGGATCTCGACGGCCATATGGACAAGATGCTCTGGTTGACTTTGAGGAGCACTACACTCCAGAAAYGAATCCATACTTTGTTGAAGACCGTAAGCAAGTTTCGCTGTTATGTAAAAGGCTTGAGAGGGGGATTGTACCTTGGCTTATTTCCCTGGAGTTGGCTTCGCTCTTCTGTTTGCTTCTGTAATGTGGCCTATTTATGTACTAGTTATTCCTGTGACACCAGCTTTCGGTCAGGTGTTCAGGTTCAAGAGCCAGCACTGTCTAAGAGTCCAGTTGGGCTCACAGTGCAGTATTAATTTTTAATATAGTGAAACAGCTTGTGCCAAGTGTACTAAATTTATATTTACCAACAGATTTACAGCTAGAGGTCAAAAGCATTGCCAGTTTCTCTTCTCACTGATTAATTTTGTTTTAGCACATGGGACAAATTTCTTGGGAGCGCACTTAGTTTAAAAGAAAAGAGGAAAAAAAATCCTCTCATGTCAGTTTTCCATGATTTTCCAGGAAAGTTTCATCTGGGAGAACTGGAGAGCGTGCGAGCTGTTCCGAGGCGCAGCGCGGCGTGCTGGCAGCACGCAGGGCGGGCGCAGCCGGCAGCGCGGCTGTGCGCCAGCAATAGCTGCCTGCCTGATGCGCTTGGCCCAGCTCCCTTTTGGGACAGGAGGGAGAGGCATAGTTAGCACTCTCATCAGCTTCCTCTGCACCAGGCAGCATCCACAGSTCCAACACACTTTTTCCACAGTTTTAAATTAAAAAAAGRAAAAAATGGAGCTCTCAGAAGTAACTGATAACTTCTTTTGCTTTGTGCATCTGGTCTACAAATTGCCACTGCACTGGCACTTCCCCAGAGTGCTTCTCCTATACAATGGATAACTTTTAAACTAAAGCTACTGGATCAAAACAGGGCGAGGGGATTACAGCATGTTTATTACAAGGGTGATATGTATTTCGTTAGCAGCTTGCACCTTGCACAAGATCATACTGTACAGATCAGGTTAATGAGTTGGTTTCTATTGAGCACTGGAATGACCTTCTGCACCTAAGGGTGATTTTTTTTATTTCTTTACAGCCCAATGATTTTAATTAAACAGTACTGAGTGTTTAGGTATAACTGCAATGTCACATAGATAGAAACTACCAAAACAAAACGAAAAACCCAGAAAGATGACTAGCTGATGYGATAGATCATATATGAAGTAGGAAGGAAGCACTTCTGCCAGTTGCCATCAGCAGTGAATAAGTAACACCAAACTGTGGACAGTTCTGAATCCAAAGCTGAGGCCTCTGTTTTAGAAGCAGAGGTGTAAGGGCTCACCTCTTCTGCTCCCACTTGATCACTGAATGCCACAGAGCAGCAAGCAAAATATGAAGATCAATCAGATTTCTTATTAAACTGAAATTAGTTATCACGACAGTCTGCCCAGTATCCTCAGCACAGCTACGCTGCCATGTGATTTGCTAGGTTCATGGAAAAAGAATTAATKTTTCCCACTTTGTGTACATTTGTATACAATCCATGTATTTTCTGTGTTCTAGAGACGTGCTGTGTCTGTCAGCAAATGCTTCTTTTGCCTCCTTTTCTGTTCACTGTCTCCACAATTTATTCAGTGCATCACTGCTGGATGTGATCCCTGCTAAGGTTCTTAGCATGCTGCAGAAAATCCAGGTTAGGTGCAAAGTATGTAGCCAAGAAACAGAGAGTGGATATGATGACAATAAAGAAAGCAATTGAAGGTTAATTTAAAAAGGGTGGAGCAGGAAAGACAAAAGCTTGTAAAAAAAGAGAAGAGGGACTCGATAGCCACAACAGGATGGCATAAAATCAGAAAGGCGGGAGAACAAGTCGAAGGTTGGTTAGAAATTCATTTTCCTATGTAGCTGAGCAGATGTACATACCCCTAGTATTGCAGCAAATATAGGTGAACAGTTGGTGGTATATCTGTTTAACCAATTTTAGATATATCTGTTTGTGGAACTGCTAAATCGATTGTATGTTATGGGGCAGAGGGAAAGATGCATTACCCATCCCACTTCATTCCACTCCATCTCCAGAGGACTTATTTACTATCTGTACTGTATATTCATCATGCTGGTAAACCAAGGACCCTCAAATGCCTCAAAAGRCCTTTTTCCCCAGAAGTCTTTTTGACGTGAGGGACTGCCACCTGCAGTTGTGTTACAGCACTGCTCGAAGAACGGAAAAGAAGCTGAAAACCTTGGCTGGGACTAAAAGGAGCAATTCAGTCCTACAAAGGATCTCTGAATATGTAAAAGAATCAAATATTTTTTCAAATATGTCCTGCTCTTTATAAATACATACGTAATTGTCTAGAAGCCCTAACTCAGGGAGCAGAGCCCCCTCACAAGAGGCATTATACAAACTAGGGAAAACAAAGGCAGCCCTTTAGCTTTGACTGCTCAACATCTAGAATTATGACAAGCAGCAATGGGTAGTTTATAGGTATTTGTACTGGCACGGATTGCAGAACCACCAGCCAAGAAGTTACTAACCCAAACCACAATAGGGAAGCCGTCTCTGATTGCTTCTTACTTTCCTTGAGGCAGCTGAAATTGATTTTTATCTATATATATTTCTTCTGGATAAATTAGAATGCAACTCTAACCCCCTCACACAAGCTTTCTTTTCAAAAAGACTGCTTTAGGAATATTCCTCCCAAACTCCATTATCACTTTTCGTTTTGCTTACATTGATATACTTAAAATATTCAACTAAAGCCTGTTACATATTTAGAAAGCACTGATTTAGCATTTAAAAACTATGCCGTCAGTATATTTTCATTTACAAGCTACAGCCAGTGATTACAAAAGAAACCTAGAATTCAAAAGGTAATTTAGTTCTCATCTTTGAGCATATACTAGGACACTCTCCTAGTACATTTACAACTCCAGCTGGTGCAGTTCTGCTAAAGCTGACCTATTTTCCACAAAGTCAAGCCACATTCCAGAAAACCTCTAAGAGAATTTCAGAGCCTTTCTGTACATTTGGATATACAGACTGGACTGCTCTGTAACTTACTTATTTCTATATAATTCTTTCTCTACATAGGTTTTCTGAACAGCTTTGAGGAGCTACAAGCAGAGGAATGTGGTATCCTGAATGGATGTGAGAACGGCCGCTGCGTGAGAGTCCAAGAAGGCTACACCTGTGACTGCTTTGATGGTTATCACCTGGACATGGCGAAAATGACTTGTGTTGGTGAGGATGCCACGTGTTCATATTCTGCTGTTAGTCTGGCAGGTTACTCGGTCACTTCACTTAAGAGGGACTAAGTAAGTGAGCTACAGATGCTCACCTGAATTCCACTGAAGATGCCCAACTCCTGCCTGCTTTAAGGCGAAGGCCAGTGCATGTCGTTGTTACAGAAACAGCTCTGTAGATGTCCCTCAGGTCATCTTAGTCATTACAGTTGTTTTCAGTAAAAGACTAGAAACTAAGATACACACTTTTGAAATGACGCTTAAATGCTGTTAATAAAGTAACGGCGGAAAATGCAAAACAAAGTACTCAGTGAGATAAAAGATTTCAACAATTTATGGACCAGACTATCCCTACAATTTATAAAAGCAAATCTGTGCAACAAATAGCCAAGGCATCAAGTTTGGCCWTCAGGTAGCAACAAAGCACAGGGAGACGGGGTGGCAGGGGAAGATGAAGCAAAACAATTAACGTGTCTCAGAGCAGAAGCTCAGGRGCAACTGTACATGGGTGTTTCAGGCTGAGGTCTCCTCGCTGTGTCGTGCTGAGGCTACCTGCAGTCATCAGGCCTGCCTAGCCAGCTGGTCTCCTTGGCTGGAAAAGAGAGATACTGCAGGCCAGGGCTGCCCAGTGTTGAGTGCAAATAGCCTGCTGGTCGCAGTGATGGGAACACCAAAAATGCCTAAAGTATTTGGTTTTGTTAACAGACATTTAAGAATTGGTAGATAATTGGTAGATAATTCATTAATGGAAACTGGTAGATAATCCATTAATTCTCAGTCATCAAGAAAATCCCTCAAAGGATTTTTAATGGATTGTTTTTGTTTGGCAGCTCAGGCTGAATTTGGACCTAGTAATTTAGCAGTGTAGCACTCTAAGAACATTTAACATTTGTTTCCTGTGATAACTTCCTCAYCTTACTATTTAGATAGTTTCATGTTGCAACTTTTGACCCCGCTTAACTCTGCCTAATGTGAGCTGAATATGTAAGTTCTCCACTTACYTATACAGCATTTTTTCTTCTTGACAATTCTGGAAATAAACTGACTTTTCCTGCACACCGCAGGCTTACGTACATGTGTTTCGATGTGCCCTTTTCTGCAGATGTGAACGAGTGCAGCGAACTGAACAACAGGATGTCTCTGTGCAAGAACGCCAAGTGCATTAACACGGAGGGCTCCTACAAGTGTTTGTGTCTGCCCGGCTACGTACCTTCGGATAAGCCAAACTACTGCACACCACTGAACTCAGAACTAGACAGTGAACTGGAGTAGAGGAAAACCTCCATATTCTAAGCCCATATACTCTGCACTGTATAAAGAAAAGGAAGGAAAGTATTTAACTTGATAAGAGAAGGCACCGGAGTAGTGAACATATGGGGAAAAAGCATGTGTCAAAGGTGAGAAATGATGGGCTGATGATATGTCAGCTTCGCTGAAGTGACAGACCAAATGGACACATTTCTCTGTATGGAAGAAACAGTAAAGTATATAGTGTGTTCATAAGGAAAAAAATCATTATGCAAAAACAGTGCTGTTATTTTAAACAGAAGAGCTTTGGTATTTTGGATTTTGTTTTTGTTTTTACTATTGCTTGATTAATTTGGCATTTAAATAGTGATGGAAATATTTTATATTACTATGTCATTTTTTTGATTGTTCAGTTCCTTGCCTACTGTTTCTCTTCAGACCTTTTCTTCTGATCAGTACAGAATCTTTGATGCAGATATTCTTAGGCCATTTTATAAGAACTGTTGCACAGGGTAATGCGCCTCCTTCTCTGGAACATTGGTCAGTGACTTTTTTGAATCTGCTACTTGTCTGCCCTGTGGAGCAGGCACCACTTGTTTCCAAATGTTTATATACCTTGGCGAAAAGTCCTTATATTCATTTTGTATTCTGTAATGGTTGTTACTGCACTTAAAAGTTTTTAGAACCTTTCTTGCCAAGTTCAAAGCTGCTAGTGGACAACATTGGATTCTTTTTGTACATTAAAGCAAAAGATTTGAGCTCACGTCTGTATTGTAATGTGTAAATTGAACACAAGAGAGATCTTGTATGATTACCCTAACATATTAAAGCTGTATATTAAACCTCAATAAAATCACCTTTTTTTAGAAAACAGCTATTTGGTAATTGTAGATTTATTCTTGTATTTGSGTTCATGTTACTAGAATCAAACCCTAGGGTGTGTATAGTACTAGAATTAATTTACAGTACAATAGTTATAGGGATTTGTCTGGCTGTTTTTTCTTTCTCATGTTGTTTTAATAAGGCCAGGGCTTGAATTAGTTGATGCTTGAAGTTGAGCTTCCAGGGGGAAGATTTCAAACACAGACCTGCAGAAACTGTTTGACTTGGAAGCYGACTTCCATGGAATTTTTGTTCTTTCCTGGTTTAGGCATGTTTCCCACAAAATCTGCAATCTTCGGTGGATGGCCTGGTTTTCAGAACTACTACAGAGAAGGGGGATAATTTTCTTTTCCTGATGAACTGTACCTTGCCGTGGCCTTAGCCATTTTTCAGTGGTAGAAGAGAGAGAAAGCAATTGCAAGACTGATAGATGTTTTGCTTTATCCTTCTCCAGAATGAAATGGTTTGCTTTGGAAATGCTGAAGCACGTCCTTTTGATATTTTCCAAATGAAACATTTTTGCTATGTCCTTTAGACCTGCCCTATATTGAAAGGATAAAACTAAACGCAAGAAAGTAGGTCCAACTGTCCCAAAATTAGATTTTTATTTCTCATTTTACCAACAAAAGAAATACTTGTTTTGGTTCTGAATCAAATTTATTTTCCAATATTTTAGGTCTGTCACTGAATGAAAAACAAAAAAATCCATTAAGTTGTAGGCCTTTAAGTAAGTACCAAGCACAGGATAAGTCTCCGTTTAGTCCATGGGCTTGTTCACATTAGAAAAAGTTAGTAAAGAGTGAAGAAATAGGCTGAACTTGGCCCGTCTCAGGAGTAGCCTAAGGGATCGCGGAGCAGGGAAGAGGCTCAGGGTGGGATCTGCGGCGCTCCTGAGAGCGAGCATGAGGAGACAGGGCTCAAACGCCAGCACCTTGGAGGACTTTTCTTTGGGACAAACACAAACATTTAATTCTGAGGCAYGAGACCGGCTTCTTGCTGTTTTTTCTCTCTTTGTTCTCTTAAGGCACATTTAAAATACTCTGGCAGTTTATCATTTGCAGCTGACATAGGTGCAATATGATATGACATAGATATGTGTGTGTATATATTATATACACACACGCACACACACRTATGTGTGTATATGCACACATACACATGGAAATGCCAGGGCACTGCCTGCTGACTGGTGCCAGGCCTTCAAAAAGGCCTTGCCAAAGGAACCACGGCCCGAGGACTTCAGGGAAGTATTTAGCTCCTCTGAACTCAGCTGCCTCCCCAAGCCCACCTACTTGGTTCCAGGAGCGTGAGCTTCACCTGAAAAGCTGCAGGGCTCGGGAATACAGTTTCAATCCACAGTTAAGCAAACATTTTCTTAACACCATTAAGACAAGGGATTGGACACCACAGATGGAGCCCTTTACTTGTTACAAGAGCTGTGGTTTAGGCGAGAACCCTAAAAATACAGAATCCACCGATCACAATTGCATGATTCAAGTTTCTGAGTGTGGCAGGGTCTGGATCTGATTACAGTTTATGCCAAATGGCACCAACATTTTTTTTATACCCTTACAGATCCTTTAAAAATACACTAGTCCTGTTTTCACAGCCAGCCCATTTGGTGCTGCAGAAGGGAAGTTCTAAGCTTGGCACCACTGCCTCCAAATTCTTCATTCCACTGTAAAGCTACTGCGTTAATGAGATCACGGATCCTGCCAAACTGAAGGGACACTGACATTTCAGTTAGAAAGATAAGGTATCTGAACGCTGGGATGACAGTGACAAAAATGAGCCAGTGTTAAAACAGTATTCCAACTGAGCACTAACGTTTACTGGAACAAAACAGCACCACAGCAGGACACCTGAATTCAAGAGGCGAAACGGGTATTGGTGGCAAATACTCAGCTAGTCGGTGACAAGCGACGTGCTCAAGCATAACCCTGACTACACAAACAAGTGATGGAGGCTCCAAGGTGCCCGTCGTGACCTGTTAGCGCCTGGTGCTCCTACCTTTGCACCGGTGGCGTTTGAATCCCTGTTCYGGGGTCCTGGGGACCCTCCCTGGTGTCCACACGGCCCTCGCTCTCCTTGCTCCTGCGGCCAAGGCAAGGTGACAGACTGCTGAYGCGTGCCACGGGCCAGCCCTGGCCGGCGAGTGAAGCGCAGCGCATTCCTTTAAAGCACACAGTGAACTTCAAACCCCGCTGCTGCCTCCAGAAGAAACTAGGGGTTGTTCCTCAGTCATGCCACCCACTTGGAAGAGAGGCTTGCACATGCTGCGGCCTCTGCTAACACYGCGGCGGCCAAGGGAGCTGTTAAGRAGCAATTCCAAAGAGAAAGGAAAAAGAAGTCAATTGTTACAAGACGCAGAGGCTATTGCTCACTTTTGAGATATTTGGGTTTTATATAGCTTTTTTTCTATCAGAAGRTATGAAGTTATCTTGCCTGGGGAAGCTAAGTGCTGTATCCAAAAGCAGACACCACAAAATACACATGAGAAAGCGGGAACAAATGCAGAAAATCAGCCCTCTGCTGAAGACTTCCCAGCAGTGATGACAACAGCTTGGGGGAGCACAACAGCACTCCTGCCAAAAATGCCAAGGACTGGGCTATTTTCCCTGCACTTCCCTACAGGAAGAGCCTTACGGCAGAAGAGCYGGAAAACTCAGGCAGTCCTGGGGCAGCATCTCCACAGCTGGCACGGGCTGTGCTTGCACACCAAGCTCTGAACCACTTGGAAACCCTTTTCTCCCCCCATCCACTTCACATTCAGGAGCCCCGGTGCCAAAAAGAAAACRTGTTGAAACCCAGATTCTCTTGTGGAGCCCTGTCCTCGAAGYGGTGTTACCATCCGGCGGGACAGGGCTGATGCAGCCCAGGGAAAGCCAGCAACGCCAGCCCTCWTGCAGGACTGCAGAATAGGCAGTGGCTCAGGCACTCCTGGAGAACAGCAAATCCTGCGGCGCCCCAGGGAAAGCCTTCAGGGCGCTGCTTTGTCCCACCTTACCGTCACTCCCTATCCTTCCCATCAGGAAGGAGCCCTCACAGGAAGGTGGTGGCCCTGCCCGCAGGAGCAGGTGCCAGGCACATGCCCTTAGCAGGAAGCGGCACACGGGCCTGGCACGCTCAGCGCGCAGCCGCTCGCTCCTGCTCTCCCGCGGCGGCCCACGCGGAGCRCGCCGGAGTCGCACACGCTGCGGGCACCACGCTGCAGCCAGCTCCTGCAGTGGCAGCCTCGCTAGCAGGGAAGGTCGCCAGGAAGGTTTTTGTCCCCACAAAATACGGAGAGGAAGGAGAAAATTAGGCTRCTCTTCCTCTTGCGGTGCTGACTTTCCCTTCAAGCTGTGCTTCACTGTATACTACTTTCCATTAGCTCTGAACTGAGGGAAAGGAGAACGTGCGCTAGCCAGCATGGAAAATTTCTACGTGACAATTTCAGCATCACCTCCAATCCCTATCTAGTCCTGCTGCCAGGATCCATTCCAGGCTGGATTTTTCCAAAGCACTCCATATTGATTTAGCGCTGCTCCCACCAAAACCTGTGGCACTTCCACAGATTCCAGTGGGAGCAGAGCAACGGCTGTGCCAAGCTCTTATGAAAAAATCCCACCATGTGTGTTTAATGAAGAATGTCCCTGGCAGGAAAGTTTTGAGTACAACTAAGCAGATTTTTTTAATATTTCTTTCACATTAAAAGTTTCATTTCTGTCACTTCACAATCAGTAAGAAGCTGCCCGGAAGGGTGAGTAGGACCTGCTCCAACATCCCCAACAGAAGACTGCCCATTTCCAGCTAAAACTGAATTTAACTTCGTTGCCATCCAGAGGGTCCCTGCCGCTTTGCTAGCAGGCTCTGCCCCCAGCACCCACCCCTCGCAGGCAGCTCCAGCCCCACTCCAGCTGCAGGGCAGTCCCTGCTTCCCAGTGACCCATTCCCCATGGCACTGCTGAGCACAGGACCGCAGCACCGCTGGCCTTGGCGGGGGCCTCTGCAGACCCTCCCCTGCAAGCACCAGCAGGGGCGGCCAGAGCTCGCTGCCCTCCACTGCGCCCGCCGGGGTGTGAGTGGCTCCGCGAGAGGAGATGCCACAGCCTCACTGGGCATCCTGCTCCACGTTCGACCACCTTCACAGTGAAGAAGCAATTTTCTTGTGTTCGGCCAGAACTTCCCACGTGCCTGTGGCTTCTCCTAAAATAGGAGAGACCACTGAGAAGAATCTGGCCCCTTGCTCTTTCATTATTTATAAAYACTTACAAACTCTCTCATCAGATATTGCAAGCATTACTAAGATTCCATCTGAGCCTTCATTTCTCCAGCCTGAATAGTCCCAGCTCTCCCAGCTTCACCTCATTAAGACAGATTGGCTAGTCCCTTCATCGCCAGATATCTCATCACAGAAAGCTATCAGGCTGGTTAGCCACAATTTCCCCTTTGCAAAGCCATGCTGATCACCTTCCTGTCCTTCACGTGTCTGGAAATAGCATCCAGGATTCATTACTCCAGCAGGCTGCCGGGGATCAAGGTGAGGCTGATGGGCCTCTAGTTCCCCACATCCTCCTGCTTCCCCTTCTCGCAGATAGGGTGACATTTCCTTTCTCCCAGTCCTCAAGGACCTTCCCTGATCCCCACGACCTTTCCAAGCTCATTGAGCGTGTCCTTGCAGGGACACTGGCCAGCTCCTCCCACACTCTGGCCCACGGACGAGCACATGTCCAGCTTAAGAGTTCAGGCTCCCTCCACATCCCGCTATGATTCGCCCGAGACCCGCACCCTCAGCAGCTCATTCCTTCCTGTTCCCTGCCTGGCGCAGTCTGCGGTGTCTAACTGCAGGCTGGGCACGCAGTGTAACTGATAACCCCCATCCGGCACTCGGAAAAATCTTCCGCCCAAGTAAGCCGAGAACATCCGTCATCAACAGCGGTCACAGCAGCCTCTTTCCTCACCGACACGGAACCCGCAGCAGCCCCACGCCACCTTGGGATTCTTCCCCA